TAATGCTACTGCTATTGGTCTTCACGAAATAAATAATGAAATGAAGGAAATAAGACAAATGACTTTACAAAAAAGACTTGCTTTAGATTACATGTTAGCCAGCAAAGGAGGAGTCTGTGCTTTAATTGGTAAAGAATGCTGTACTTACATCCCTGATAATTCCGAAAAAATACAAGATTTGGCTGAACATATTCAAAAGGAAGCAGCCAAATTACATGAGCCAGACGATTGGAATTTAAGTTCATGGTTTAGGTCCCTTTTTGGCTCCTTAGGATCCACCATTATTCATAAATTATTGATATTTTTTATTATTATTGTCCTGATATGTGTAATTTTCATGCTCGTTCGCTGTTGTCTAAGCAACATATCTAAGCAAACCCAACCAGGGAATAGATTAATGTTCCTGCAAATATCTGAACAAAATCAGCAGAAGGAAAATAAAACACACCACAGAATCTAAAATGATGGTTCTAAAAAGATGTGAGCAGATTGAAAGAAGATATAGAAAGATGCAAGATAAAATAGAGAGACTCATGAGAATAGAAATAGAATAAGATGAGACTTGTAAGTCTCAAAGGGGGGAAATGTGGAAGCAAAGGATGGCTGAGGCCTCAGGGGGGGAGAGAGAAATTCCTTAGATAAGAGGAAAATGACCATTAAACTGTCTTGAAGGACACAAGACAGATAGCCCCAAGGCGGGAAAAGTTAGTTTAGGCAACTCTTTGTCTTGAATCTATAAAAGGTTGATTGCCCTGGATGTGAATTAGAGAGGCCACAGCAGAAATCTTCCTGTAAGGGTCTCTCTCCGATAGCTATCGAAATAAAGTTTCTACCTGACCTGATTCCAAATTCTACAGCGTGTTTTTTCCATGACACAGAGGTCCTCCAAGATCTTTCAAAAGGCAGCCAGGCGATTTGGGTCAAATGATCCATTTTCTGGCCATTGTCATCCCAAAACTAACTGAGACGTATAAGACGTCAAATTAATTAAACAAAGTTCTGCCATATGAGACTTGGACAGTTCTGCCCGTCCCTCCAAACGTTTCCAATTCCTGATCATATAATCAAGGGGTGAATATCCTAGGCCAGAACCCATGATTATATCCAAGCACAAGCAGTCTTATTTCCCTAAGTTCTACCTGCCTAGAAGCTTTCTTGTCCACGCACAACAACCGGTGTTCTCGGACCCCGCTGGCTTTCTCTGTGAGGAGGGGCGTCTTGAGTCCGAGACCCTAGTCATTGGCCGTTATAACAGCATTTCTACCATATATCCGTGTCTTTCGCCTTTCGGCTAGGCTGCTGGCTCTAACAGCGTTTAAAGTAGCAGACAGATACCCTCAAAGACTGCTTCCAGAGACCTCTAGAGGTAAAACCAGAAACCCAGAAACCAGATAGAAACCAAAAACATACCTGACCTGAGGTACTCGCCGGTACCGTTCCTTTACCCGACTTGAGGATCCCGCCGAGGGGACCGTCCACCTCCCGAGACTAACCCAATAGGTGAACTCACCTGGTGCGCGCTGGGGTGTCAGGGGGTGGAGGTCTCCAAAGGCGCCAAGCTAGACGGGTCCCATCTGGGGTGCCAAATTGTGGTGGGAGAAAACTCCCTAGAGTTCGTTGTCTAGCTGCATAGGGACCAGGCAACGCGGGTAAAGAAGTGACTGCACGTGCTTTACAAATCTTCATAACAGCATATTTCTATTACGCTGAACTACCACTTCCTAAAAGCTAAAAGTTAAGTAACAGTAACATTATGATATGTTAGCAAAAACTTGCACAGTAGTACATACTTCGTAAGGACACGATCACTGTACTTAGAACAATGGCTTCTTTGTCTTATCTTGTTCCTTGCTGTAGCTGATTTTACAGCACACAGACACAGATTCACTTGCTGCATTTTACTCAGAAAATGGTTAACACAGTTAAAATGATTACTTAACATAAGCAAAGGCTTAGCTATCAATCTGCCTTCTGTTCAGCAACATTGCTAAGCCACAGGTCATGCCTTGTATTCAGCTGTAAAGCTAATACTTCTTAATAATCTCAATTATTGTTAACCTAACAGCATGCTATCAGAAAACTATTTTATTTCAGGGTAATAACAAACATGCTCACTGCACCCTTCCATTGAGCGGGTGGCTTGAGCAGCAGCAGCCATCTCCACCAGCCCTGGCTTTCCTTGGTGGTTCAGGGATGAGCAAACCTGTGTTTCAAGCACTTGTCCTGGGTCTGGTCCCTGCCCCATGCTGGTCCTCTCCCTCTGCCTGTTCTCTGGTGCCATTGCTTCCCTTCCCTAGCCACGAAGGTCATGAATGCCCAGGAAAGCACCCAGGAAGAATGGGATCTACAAGCCGGCGCCCAGAACGAGCGAGGAGCCCTCCAAGGATTTGCAGACTGCTCTCATAGTCTCTAGCTCCCACAGCCTCTCTTCCGAGGACTTGCTCTCCAAGGCCTTCCCCTGCTCCCCACCGCTGGCCCGTCTCTAACTCCCCCGTGTCTGTTTAAAACACGGAGCCCAGACTGCTCCCAGGAGTCCAGACCAGGCCGAGCTGGGGCTGAGCAGCGGTGCAGGATCTCCTCCGGCATGGCGGCCCTCTTGCTCGAGTTGAGGGATCCAACACTTGTCTTGTTCCTTTTGCTCCCCCGTCCCACACCGAAGACCCCTCGTCCCTGTAGTGATCTACCAAGACAGCCCATCCTTTTCCCTGGTGCAGGCACACTACCCACTCGACCACTTCATACCTGTGTGCTC